ATCCCGGAGTCTGGTCACGGGTTGCAAATCTCGTCTAGGTTCCTGTTCTCCTCCCGCACTTCTGACGCAGCTCATTTTTCCCCGATATGTCTACCGAACGCGATTTTTATCTCGAGCTGAAATTGTACACCGGTCGCTTGAAACGGAAAGGAGAGGGCTCTAGAGAAAGAGGGGGAGAGAGAGAGTAAAAAAAGTTGGTAAGGAGTCAAGGGGCAAAGGGGAAAACTGCGTACGTGCCTTGAAATCATTCCTCGGCGATGACTCGATCATCGGCCGCGCGCCGCGCATATTGCCGATCGATTCGCTAAACCGTCGATCGTTTTCGAACGCTGAACCGATTTATCGATACCTTGTCGACGCGACGCACAGTGAGGCTGTTCATAGGCGAAACCTTTAAATTCGATGTTGCATAATGAAAATCGAGGGTTATCGATGTGTTGCTAAGTAGTGGCTACAAATTGATTTTCAGTTAACCCTTTGCACTCGAGAGGTGACTCAGTCAACATTTCATCTGATATAACAAAATTACCAAGTGTTGTATATAATATTAAGTTTTGTGTAATACATCAATATGTAGAATATTTATATAAAACAGCTTTGTTTCTTAATTTACCTATGTTTTCTCATAGTTCGTTTCAAACAGTGTCTATCTCATCGGGAAGTGTTGAATTTTTCTAGTGAAGAGCTTCCGAGTGCAAAGGGTTAAAAAATAACAATTTCATCGATCAGAGTTGAGAAAAAAGTCATAAGCCAAGGGGTTAAGTGCGACACGTATAGCTTCAGAAGGCTCGAACCCATCGCTCAGTCCAGTGTATCCAGTTTCCATCGGCTTCCGAGCGACTCGTATAGCTCGTTGACGCTCGAAGGGTTAATATCCAATTGGAATTCCTCGAAAAATTCATTGGATCGGCGGAGGGGCGCGAGCGAGTAGGGTGAGCGTCGTCGCGCGACGTTTAACCGAAGTTTTCCAAGGCGAGTGGGCGGCGTTGAGAGCGCCGCGGCTCGTAAAGCTGACTCGTACGTATTTGAATATGATTTTAATGCTTCCGTTCGGTGCGCCGGGAGCCGCGTCGCGTTGCTCGGCCGCCGATAATACTCCTCGCCCTTTTGGGTTTCGTTAAAACCGTGGAATGAAACGGCAAGTGTACTCACTCTCCGACGTGCTCGCCATTCCAACACCGTTTGTCGGGGTACTCCTCGCAGATCGTGTCGGCCAGAGTGCCGTAGAAGGTCCGAGACCTGACGACGCTCGCCAAGAAATTACCCAGCTGCACGTGCAACTGCGTCGGTAATGCTCTATGCGTGACAGGAGGCGCAGCTGCGTGCATCTCGAGGCCGCTCGTCGACGATTTCCCCGTTGCAGCTGCATCCGAGCCGGCCGTAACGGTCCCGTCGCTCTTCGACTGCAGTTCCGGACGGCCGCACAGTTTTTTCACCTGAAACACCGAATCGTAAACCTTTGTTTTAGATTTGCTCTTTTTCACGTAGGTTTTGTGGGTTAAGGGGCTCCTTTGTGGGCTTGGGACGGATCGGATGTTGGCTAGGTAATGGGAATTTTTATGGTTGATACCAAAATTTTGGTTGAGAGATGGAAATGTTTGAACGTTGATTGTAATACAAAGAGAATTTTGATGGTAGTACATAGAAAATTTTTGTGGTAACGAGGTGGAAGTATTTGAACGTTGATTGTAATACAAAGATAATTTTTATGGTAGTACATAGAAAATTTTCGTGCTAAATAGATGGAAATGTTTGAACGTTGATTGTAACACAAGGAGAATTTTTATGGTAGTATATAGAAAATTTTTGTGGTAACGAGATGGAAGTATTTGAACGTTGATTGTAATACAAAGAGAATTTTGATGATAGTATGAAGAAAATTTTGGTGCTAAATAGATGGAAATGTTTGAACATTGATTGTAATACAAAGAGAATTTTGATGGTAGTATGAAGAAAATTTTTGTGGTAAAGAGATGGAAGTATTTGAACACTGATTGTAATACAAAGAGAATTTTGATCGTAGTATGAAGAAAATTTTGGTGGTGAAGAGATGGAAATATTTCAACGTTGATAGTAAAGCAAAAAGAATTTTGATAGTAAGACAAAGAAAATATTAGTGGTAAATACATGGAAATATTTGTACAAAGAGAATTTTTATGGTGAGGCAAAGATAATTTTCAAAGCTTTCTGTTACAAACAAGAAATAAGAAGCAAAGAGTACGGTTTCCAACGTAACAAACGTGAATTGGAATTTTATCTCGATTCGATTTACTTCGTGATCCGAATCGCCCCGGCTTACCCTGCCAAAGACAGTAGCAGCTACCCAAACTACGTATAATCTTCGAGAAACTTGCTTCGGAGAAAATAAAACAATTCACGTACCACTTCTTGAAACTCCAGCTAACATGTGGGTTAAGCAGATCCATTTCCCAATCACCGATCTCTCCCTTCGAAACACATTTCAATCGTAATCCCGATAAATCCACTCTCGCAACTTCCTCCCGACCTTCGCATAGAATTTTATCGACGCGCGGTTTCTATGAATTTATCTCACTGTTTGCAAACTTCCCTCGAAACTGTGTGCTCAACCGAATTTCCTTCGTCCCTACAGCGCTTCCAACCTGTTGGAACTATTACTCGGAGGAATCAAATTTTATTTAATCGCAATCCCTACAAATTCAGAAACTTCCGCCACCTGCGAGCCACGAATTACTTAACTTCTCGAACGTTTATAACGATATCCCGAATAATCCCGTACGAACGACAGGATCTCCGACCCTCGAAGCGTCTAACAGCGGAATAGAGGGATGTACTTTTCAACTTTGAATATTTCACGCGGCGAACGGCCCATCGCGTCGAACGTAATCAATTATTTACGTATCCCCCGTGACTCGCGGCGTGCGTCCGGCGCGCAACATCAATCTCGCTCGAATTCGCGCGCAACTGGGTCAAAATGCATACGCGTTGATCAGGACGCATCGCGATCGCAGAAACAGCACCGCACGGGATCGTCATTCGGGTTATCGTTCGCATCTCTCGACGTCCTAATTACTTTTTAACGCCGGCTATAAAAGGAAATAAGTCGGCGTTGGGACTTCTCAAACCGGCATAATCGTAAAACCGGCCGTCAGGCCTGTTGTAATTAAGACGGCACGCGTGGGCGTGCAAACGTCGCTCTCGGTCCTCGTCGATTTCCTTTTTTATTCCGCCTCGCCCTTCCCCGTTGCGCGCTGCTCTACGCGAGCCTCCTTCGTTCTCGTTATACATCGTTTCTCGCGCGGTTCCTTTTCAACGTTGCGAGTATCTTTACATCTAGCCGAAAGTAATGCGTTCGCCTGTTCTATTCGGGCAGGTTAATGGGACGACGTCACGTGGACGAATGGAAATGTTAAGGTTATGAGAGATTTGTGTATGTGTAATGTTGTGAGAGCGATGTATACTTTTACTTCGAGGGTTATGGAGATAATTGGGACGTTGAGTAACTGAGTTAACTAATTTGCGAAGATTGTGTTTAACCCTTTGCACTCGAAAGCTTTTCACTGGACGTATTCAGTATTCTGCGATGAGATACTGACGAGATAAAGTAACTGTCCTTCTTAATTTATATATGTTTTCTCGTTAATTAATTTCAAAGAACATGTATTATGTTAATATTAAGCTTTGCATGATGCATCAATATTTGGAATATTGAAATGAAATAACTATCCTTCTTAATTTATATATATTTTCTCGTTAATTAATTTCAAAGAACATCGTCTGTATTATGTTAATATTAAGCTTTGTATGATGCATCAATATGTGGAATATTGAAATAAAATAACTATTCTTCTTAATTTACATATATTTTCTCGTTAATTAATTTCAAAGAACATCGTCTGTATTATGTTAATATTAAGCTTTGCATGATGCATCAATATATGGAATATTGAAATAAGATAACTATCCTTCTTAATTTATATATGTTTTCTCGTTAGTTAATTTCAAAGAACATCAATATTCCATATATTGATGCATCATGCAAAGCTTAGTATTATATATAAGACTTTATAATTTTGCAAATCAGATCAAGTGGTGACTGAGAGTCACCTCTCGAGTGCAAAAGGTTAACGCTAGATTTACGGGCGTTTATTCTAAACTTTATTCTATTGTTTCTAGAAAACTAGTTCGTCTATATAAATTGCGAAAATTGTAACTTCAAAACTAGACTATTGCAATGCGTATTCGCATAATTCTACGAATCGAAATCGACTTGAACTGATACTAAATAAATAATTAGAAAACGCAATATTCGTCAATGTGACGGGTTCCGTGAATCTAGTGTTAAAAATGACAATATTAGCATGAATATTCTTTGAATGTTTTACGTGCGAAGTAATTTTAACCCTTTGAACTCTGTAAGCTCGAATATTGCAAAATCTTGGCCATTTTTCCGTATAATTATTCTTTCGTAGCAAAGAAAAGCAGGAACAATTATCAATTATTTGACGTTACAGTTCTTGTATTACACTATTCTCAGCTTAGTTACGTTATTAAACATTTTTATTCAATGTCGGTTACCTTGCATGCTACGATTATCAAGTAACTCATAAGCGTCGGTCATCAGTGACTGGCATGGCGCTTGACGCATTAAATGAACTATAACAATTCGATTCGGTCGTGTTGAATATTACATTCAACGTGTTAAATATATCATACTCCATAATTCTTCCATGCCAAATCGAGCAGCGACTGAGAGGAGCCTACGGAGCGCGAAGGGTTAAAAACCTCCGATCATTTTCACGAGTCATTGTATAGAAATCCCGTAGGCAGAACCTTCAGCATTCAAAGACAGCCGCGCGCGGCCGCGATTCTTATGCAATTGCAAGGGCACTAGAGGATAGAAGCACGTCGGCCCGTTAAAACGCATCGCTTTGGCTCGCGTGTTGCTGCGTGCACGGTGCTTTTTCCTTAGCCTCCCACGCGGCAGACGGTTTCTGCCGACGCAAGACGATCTTCCGCCTCCTCGCGCGGCGCGGCGTGGCGTGGCCTCCTCCTCTCTTTTCGTTTCACCTTCGTGGAAGGAAAAGGAGGCGGTCGATAACTCGGGCCCACGGGTTAGACGCGTCACCCTTGACCCGGAATATAAAACGATAATAACGTGTTCCGTTTCTGCGCCGCGATTCAAATGAAGAAGATTAGAAGATTAGGGGATTATCCCTCTGATAAGCGCACGCATACCCGGAGCGAAACGGTCCGCCGGCCGGGTAAGTACTGCCGCGCTGTACCTAAATGTACGATAATGGACCGCCGCGCGGACGGGGACTCGAAACGATTTCGTATCTCGATGGAGTGATGACTCGTGACACGGACCCGCGTGGGAGAAGGATCGCAGGTCGCGGTACCACGTTACCGGCCTCTCGAGATACGTGGTCTCGTTGCCTCGCTCCGAGAGGATGCTTCTTTCAGCGGGATTTTTCGTGCTTAACAATTGAATTACTGTAGTTTATTCTATTAAACGTTGCTTGGAAACGGAAATGTCATGGATAATGCTATATGATGCGGTGAGATTCAACTGGATGAAATGATTTGATATATTTCTCGCAATTTGTGTATTTTGCTCTATGAAATCGTGCGGCCATCTTTCTTTTGGAAGGGTTTTTAACGCGTTGAATGACGTGGGGTCACCGGTGACTCCCAATTGAATTGCTATAGTTTGTTCGGTTAAAGGTTGATTATTTGAAAACGGAAATGTTATGGATAATACTATATAATGCGGTGACATTCAACTGGATGAATATGCGATAATAATAATGCAATGCAATGAAATGATTTAGTATTATATTTTTCCCAGTTTGTGTATTTTGCCCTATGAAATCGCGTGGCGCTCAACGTGTTAATGATTCTTTGTATTTATAGCAGTGATCTGATTGATGATTTTGTACTCGTGATTGTGATTTTGAGGTTTGTGGAATTGAGACTTGATTTTGGTAACTGATTTTGTGTTTGTAATGGTGATTCTGATTTTCGTGGTATTCGTTTCTGATTTTGTTGTATTGATTGGGGTTTGTGTAATTGAGCTTTGATTTTGTAGTGTTGATTTTGTCTTTGTAATATTGATTAGATTTTATGGTATTAATACATGATATTGTAGTATTTTATTTTAACTTTTTAATACTGATTCTTGCTTTTGTAGCATTGATCTTTGATTTTGCAATATTGTTTTTGTCTTTATAGTACTGATATAGGAAGAACGAACCAATAGGTAATAGTTAAAAGTATTTTGTAATTATTCTTGTCTTCTGTAGCTATCTTTTACTGTTGAGTTGCACAGAGAAATCTATATATGTACATATATATAATTTATAACGCACATGAAGTAAGGAGTATCTATATTTTAATTTCGCCCGGAAAAAGTGGCACACGCGTCGCTTTTATGAATATTTATATATAAGTGACG